GGTATATTCAGTACTCTTCTCCAGCAACACAGCTCAAAGCATCACTTCTCATTCTATCATCCCTAGTCAATGTCCTGCTCTCAAATGCATAGCAAGTGACTGCAAAGACCATGGCCTGGATCAGGCACACCTTAGTCACCAGACTGACATCTTTGCTCTTCAGCACTTTGGAGAAGTCTCTGACAGCAGACTTTCCCAGTGTAATATGTGTCTTAGTTTCCTGGCTGTTGGTGCCAAGATATAAGGATATAAGAACCAAATTCAATTCTGTGTAATCATGTTTGGAGAGAGGAAAAAGTCAGACCAGATATACATAAAACATTTCACTAAAATAAAGAGCTATGCACCAAAGGTATAGTAGTAGAAACTGAATGGCTTATAGTTACTGAGTTGATTCCGTAAGTTATAAAACTAAACACATTTCCAGAACTTTTCTCAAGTTTCTTCTAGGAAAGCACAGCAAGAGTTTAAAGCTTAGATCTCTACATTTTAGTGTCTTCACAAGTAGCACATACATATATTTTCACTACATCCTTCTTGAGAGCAGGACTAGTATCTTAGTCATCAACACAGCCACAGTAAATGGCAAAGAGGCTAGCTCTGAACTCAACATTTATCAGAGTAAGAATTTCCAGAATAAAAGTAAAATGTAGAATCAATACATGGTAGAAAGAGCTCTGGCTCTGAGATTTAGAAACATGCCCTTACAGGTAGCTCTGTCAAAGTCCTCAAGCTTATTTCCCTTTGTATCAGTAATGTCCCTTTTGTATGATGGTAAATATCCACAAAGAATACTGCAATGTTTAGGCCTTTTAATAGCAAAAAGAAAAAAGGTCACTTGTAAGAGAAATGTAATTGCATTTTACCCATAGTAATGCATGGCTGTGGTATTACTTCTGACTTGTGGTCCCTCCACTTTATTTCTGAGGTTGTAAAATCTTGGCGGTTTTTTTTTTCTTCATTTTAATTGAGATTTTTTTTTTTTAACATATAGATTGCTTTTGGTAGGACTGTAATTTTCTTCTTTTTTTTAAATTTTTATTTTATTATTTTGTGTGTGTGTACCATCAAATGAGATCTGACTGGTACAGGAGACTGCCCCTCCTTCTCCAGCAGAGCATCTGGTGGATTTGAACTGCATACCTCTGGGATTGCAGGGCAGTTTCTTGCCACTAGGCCACCAGAGCTCCCTTAATTGAGATTTTAACGAAGGTTTATTGAGAACTTGGATTTATATTCATTCATTGTTCCATATTTTCCTCCCCACCCATCCCTCCAGTTTGCTTTTCTCTTTGAAAAAAAATTCTTCCATTGTTACACAATTTCCTCCCTACACCCCCCTCCCACCCCAAACACCACCCCCCAACATCAACCCCTTTGCTATGCAGCTCTTATTCTGGACTATGCAGCACAGAAAAACAAGGAACTCATAAAATACTATACAAAATAACTGACCCTGAAGCACATTATTGTTGTTGTTGGTTGCCTTTGAGTTGAGCACGACTCACAGTGGCCCTATGAAGACCTGATGCCTTTTATTAACTATTGACATTTATCATAGTTCATAGAGTTTCCGGAGGCATAGTGTTTAGGAAGTGGATGCCACTCCTGCTTCTCAGTCACAAACAAATACTGCACAGGACTGACATGGGGGTTGGGAGGAAACTAAAAAAAGAGGAAATAAATAATATACACTGCATTGAAACAGATGAGGGAAAGAATTGTTTAAAATATATGATTGGTTGGGGGTAGGAGGTGGGGTTTGGGGCGGTGCGGGGGGGATTGTGTACCAATGAGGGAGTGTTTCTTTTGCTTTTCAAGGAGAGGAGCAAAGGGGGGGGGGTGGGCGGGGAGAAGGGTGCAACAATGAATGAATGGAATTCCAAAATCTCTGTAGATGTTCACTGAAATGAAAAATAAACAAACTAAATTTAAAAAAAAGGGAAAAAAATATATGATTGGGTATTAGTTGCATGAGGCTGTAAAATCTTGGAGGAGACAGATTATCTTTCTCCCTCTGGTGTATTTCAACTGCCAATCTTTCAGTTAGCCACCCAACACATCACACTTTAAGACACCAGGGTTCCTTTTGTCCAGAAAAGAGGTCTACTCATTTTCTGTATATTTCTAAAAATTTGCTTCTCTGGTTATGAAATACTGGCTTCTCAGCTAAAAGGTTATTTTACACACATAGAAAATGTTTGTTTTATAGAATTCATCTTAACCCTAACAATACCAATATACTTTATAAAAATACAATGTTACTACTTGCCAACTACAGGTGATCTGCTCAATTTTTAGCTCAAATTTCAAGGTAGTAGTCATGTTTTCTAGTTTTCTTTCTTAAGAACGACCATTAGAATACTTAGCAAATAATTCTGATGCTGGCCATAAAGTCTTTCATGCTTCAATAATAGGAATCAAATTCAACAGGTCTTTCAGAAATGTAAATATTTTAAGAATCTTGAAAAATTATGGAATGTTTGCTAGATTTGTGATGGAATTTAATTTTATGAAGTGAAATGCAAGTTAGCATTAAAATATTGTGAAATGTAATTAAAATTTGTTAAAAACAAGGATGCAAAAGAAAAAAAAGACTGGAATGAGATTCACTGAAATGTTAGGATAGTTTGTAGAAGGTGATAGTAGTATATGAGGGAATTTTCTTTTCTTCACATGCTAAATTGTACTTTTACAATTAAGTACTATGTTTAAAAGTATGAGAAGGGGAAGGCAAATTTCTTAGAGAAAATAAACAATAGGAAGAAACTCAAACTTGTTGCCTTAAAGTTGAAACTGACAGCTGATCCTCCAGCCAGTTTTCAGAGGCTATAAATCGCAGGGAAAGAGACTGCCCATCTTTCTCCCATGGAGCAGCCAGTTGATTCAAATTGCCTGCCTTTGGGTTGTCAGTACAACTCCTTACCCATTCAGCCACCACAACTCTTTTTAGTTACTACTTGGTGTTGTCAGGTGCTGTGGAATACGATTCATAGTGAATTCATCGTGATAACAGATCTGAATCCTGTCCTATCCTGTGCCATCCTCATCATCTTTGACACACATGACCACACAGCTGCAGTCATTCTGTCAATCTACCTGGTTGAAGGTCTTCTCCTTCGCCATCCCTCCATCTTTACAAGCGTGATGGTTTCTGTCCATGGAATATAGCCTCTCTTAGCAACATATCCAAAGTATGAGAGACAAAGCTTCACTGCCCTTGCTTCCAAAAAAAGCACTCTGCTCATACCTTTTCCAAGACATGTCTGTTTTTTGGTGGTCCATGGGATAGTCAGTGCTCTACTCAAACATAACAGCTGAAAGGCACCAATTCTTCTGTCATCCTTACTGTCAAGTTTTCAGATGCATAAGTCATTGAAAATACCATTAATAAGTGCTAAAATTAAGCTTTTATCTTAGCAAGAACATTTAGTATGATTACAAGCAGCAATTAAATCACTAAATATCTCTGCTGGAGGGACATCAGCTGGGTTTGTCTTTTAGCAGGTCAAAAAATACACAGACTTGTAGAATACTTTATATAGCTTACAAAGTGCTTTTATAAAGGTCATATCACTTGCCCTTCTAACAAACTTTTGAGATAGGTTAATTTTAAGGGTCAGAAATCTGAGGATCAGTGAGATAATGTATCAGTAGTAATGCCATTGTTGTTAGGTGCCATTGAGCCTCCCTGGAACCACACTGCTATGATTCACAGGATTTGCACTGGCTGATTTTTCCAAAGTAGATTCCCAAGCCTTTCATTCTAGTCTGTCTTCGTCTGGGAACTTTGCTGCAACCTATTCAGCATCACAGCAATACCTAAGCCTTTATGACAAACGTAAACCTCCATCCATTAGAGACAAATTGAGGCTGTAGTGGAAGTGCATCGACAGGAAAGCAATGCAGCTGAAGGTTACATACAGCAGTCTTGGGAATGATACAGCCACTATGTCCATTTCATCAGTTAGAAAAGTGAAGGGCTAAAGTTTTCTAACTGACGAAAATCATCATAAATCATATAAGGAGTCATTGCTCTAACTGCAAGCCATATATCTGTAATTAGGTATGGAGTTCACTGTCAGCTGCAGTGGTCTTCAGTGGCAAAGCAGCATATGGCCCACGCTGTGCTTTAATACAATGAATGGTGTCTACACTTAGAGGGAGCTCTGGTGGCCTAGTGGGTAGAGTTGCACTGACAACTCAAAGGGAGGTGAAGTGAATACACCAGCTGCTCTGCAGGAGAAAGATATTTGATTTAGTTCGGGTGACAGAGCCTGGGAGGGGTTGCGCTGCTAACCCAGCTTCTCCAGTTGTTCGAATCCACCAGCTGCTCCATCGGAGAAATAAGGGCAATTTCCTTCCGTGCACTTGGAAACCTTGCGGGTCAGCTACGAGTCGCAGCCCACTCGACGACAAATGAGAGCAAGAAAATTAGTAGAGAAATACTGCTTCAGAAGGAAGACATTGCTGCGAATGAACACAAAGCATAGGTGCAACCTCTGTATTCTCATCCAGGGTCAGTTTAGGAATTGAACACATAAAGAAGTCAGGAAACGTACTCTCTACTCCAGGAACAGTAGTTCAAAAAAAAAACACAACACAAATGCATCAGTAATTCCTGCATCTTACACTTGTGCAGCTCAATACAGTTTGCAAAACTCCTTTTCGGTTCTTTACCATTACTGGATTCTCATACTAGCCTTTGGGGTGGGCTAAATAAGGATCAGTCCCACTTACAGAAGAAACTAGAGGTAATGCAATACTGAGTCGGGAAAATAGAAAAGCACTGAGTTTAAGAGTTACTGGGCGGGCACCTAGGGGGGGTAAGCAGTGACTTGGATCGAGGTTCAGAAGCCCGGAGAGCAGACCACCACCGAGTGGAGGACGAAACCAGGGTCTGAGGCAGGGACAAGGCCAGCTAGAGACATTGGCCTTGAGATTGTCGCCTGTCAAGGCTCGCTAGAGTTGGAGGTCCGCCCGGCCGCCTCGCTACTCACGTTGGACCAGACGGTCCCCGGTGAAAGTGGAGGAGCAGCTGGTAACCAGCGCACAGGGAACTCCAGCAGCCATGGCCGCGCTCTCGAGCCGGTTCTGTCCCGGAGCCGCTTCCGCCTTGGGCTATACCACCGCCGCCAGTACGTGGGGGAGACTCACCAAGGAGAGGCGCATCTCAGAATGGACAGACTCTCCCGACTCCCTTAAATCCCCCCTCTTCCGTTGCCGCAGTAGAACAGGCCGGGCTGCGCATACGGTTGCCATAGGGACAAACACTCATAGCAGGAGTTGCGGGCCACTAAATTCAGTGCCTTTTGAGTCTGGCTTCCCGTCCTGGGCCTTAGTCATGGCACAGAAGCCTGAAAACCTCGACCCCATTGGAACCATCCTAGTCCAGGTGGGACGCTAGCCTCTTCTGTCCCTGCTCAGCGGAGACATTTCTGTGCGAGGCTCTGCGGGGCCACTTCACTCGCACCCACTCGTTTGGGGCGCCCGAGAGCCCCACTTAAGCCCTCGAGGTTGCGCCTGCACTGCCTCTGCCTCTGGTGTTGATTACCTCACTAGGAACTTCAGAAGAAGATCTTTTACAGAGTCACTGCTTTTAAAATACTTTGCTTTAGAAAACAGTTTTCCAAACTTTCCATGCTTGCTCAGAATTTTCGGAAGTATTACGGCATTTTTATCGTTTGTTTCTCACGTTTTTACACATCACAGTTCTATAATGTTTCCACACATTTAGCCAACTAAACTCCTGTTTAGTTCCCTTTGACTAAGGTCGCTCTATCAGGATATTTAACTGGTCTCATTGTTCTTCTTGTCAGGACTTCGGTCTCTTGCCTCCCACTTAGGAGCAATTTCCCTAAATTAACTCCCCCCTCCCCCCCAAAGCACAAAAGCCCTAAAACATGCTCATTTCCTAGACTTCTGGGGTGTGAATCGTGCTCTAATAGTCTTATTTTCTTTCAACCAACAAACCCAGGGCCCATTTTTCCCAGACCCCAAGCAACACTAATGGAGACTCTTGTCCATAAATAAGAGCGTAGCTCAGGGTGTAAGAAGTGGTTCGAATCCACCAGGTGTGCTGTTGGAGAAAGACGAGCATTCTCCTCCAGTGCAGTTTACAGTTGCTGAAAACCCACTGGTGGGTCAACAGTGAGTTGGTTCCAACTAGAAGGTGCATAACCACAACAACATCCAGAAATGGCTAGTTCTTAGTGCTTCCCTGTGAAAATATGCTTTATATTGACAACAGAAACATTTACATTTCTCTAGTTTCCTCTATTTCTGAAAGCCTGCCTGGCATACCAAAATCTGAGGAGAATCCTTCCAGAATCTCCTACAGACTGATTTTACGATTCCCTTGAGATTACTCTTTTTCTCAGGAGGGCTCCTCTTGTGGTTTGGGATTGTGTGCAAGAGTGGTTTTGCTAAAAAAACCCCAAACCCAACAACCCACCAAAAACAACAGTAGCCTACTCACTTAAGAATGGAATTTAAAGGAAACTGGACAAACCTATTGTTGTATATCTTTTGATAATGAATTGTAAAAATAGAACAAATGAGCAAAGAAAAGTCATGCCCATGCTGGTCAGCATCCTCAATTACGTGAAATTGTTACTCAGGGCATACAAAGTCGAAGGCTGTGTAGAGAAAGAGAATCTACATGTTAACCTGATTAATTGAGACTGACCTTTACACACACTGTAGAATTGACTCTGGTAGTGTGTTGGATAGGGAGCTCTGGTGGCCTAGCAGTAAGAAACTGCAGCTGAATCCCGCAGGCATTTGGTTTGAATCCAGCTGCTCTGCAGGAGAAGGACTGAGCAATCTTCTCCTATGTGATTAACTCCCCCCGAAAACATGTGCTCTGAAAACCTGCTAGAGACTCAGGTATAGGTCAGTCCTCACTATATGATACTCAAAAAAAGTGTGTTAAAAGTGTGGATAATGAGAACCTTGGAAGACTTTCTCCTACATTTCCAAGGATTCCTGAGATTTTATGAGCATAGGATACCACTCTCAGAAGTGGTGGATGCCGTTTCTATCTGGAGCTGTGACTGATTTCTTTCAAGCAAGCTGCGTAGTAAGCACTAAGCCTAGTGCACATGCATTTGGTGGGAGTCAGAATCCCAAAGTTTTATTCATGGCTCCAATATTCCTCTGGATATCTTTGGGCTAGGCTCTTCACCGTTGCAGGACTCGGTTCTTTTTTCTATAGGATACATAGCTTGGATTCAATTCAACTCTGACTCTAAGTTTCTCCAATTTCTCCAAAGCAACATGAAAAATCAACTCATTGCTGTTGAGTAAGAACTAGTTCAAAGCTGACCCTCCAGTGGGTTTACAAGGCTATAAACTGCACAGGAGATTGCTAGTGGATTCAAACTGCCGAAGACATATTATTTTTGGGTCAGCAGCAAAATTCACTATAGACTATGCCACTGGAGCTCCTGTACTTTACTATTAATGTATACAAATTGTTTCTGACAATTGGTGAGCCTATAAGACACAGTAGAACTGCCCCTGGGATTTTGTAGGTTGTAACTTTTATGGGAGATCATCTCCATGTTTTTTATCCTGCAGAGCTACTCTGCGAGTTTGAACCTGTGACCTTTTAGTTAGTAGCCAAGCACTTAACCATGGCATACCAGTGGTCTTCATATATACAAGTAACTAACTATAAATCTCTATGTTGCTTTACCCTAAATAATATATCAGAGCCATACTAGTGCAGTGGATTTAGCACTGGTATACTAAGCAAAAGGTTAGTGTTCTGAATCTACCAGCCCCTCACTTACCTATCCCAAAGGCCACGTCTCATTAATCCACCAGTAGCTCCATAGGTGAAGGATGGGCAACCTCTTGCCTTGCGATTTACACTTTGGAAACCTACTGGCTCTTGTCAACTATGCGTCCACGTGAATTTGATGGCAAGGAGCTTTGAGTCAGAACAGTCTTGTAAAGATTATAAGAAAGGGTAATTTATAAAAGTATAACATTCATAAATTTTAAGCCCATATTGTTACTAGATCTGATATCAAGCCTTTTTTTATTGCTTAGTTGTGTGTATATTTCTGTGTGCATTTTTAATTTTAGGGTGCCTTTAAGTGTTGAGAAAATGAGGAAATAATCCATACATAGAAGAGAAACTCTGTGTGTGCCTGTTTTTTGAAAGCATGTTCCTTATATGTTTGGATTTCTGCGATAGTTCTGATAATGAATATTCTTATCTTTTGTTTGACTATATGTCAAGACAGGTTCTGATAATTCAGGATATGTGATTGTAGTCTTTACATAGGGTTCTTCTATGCAGAATTTTGTTAGCTGCTTACATTTTTATCATTTCAAGTCTTTCCAGGCTATAATTCAGACTTACAATTTATCTGGGTCATTACATAACAAGTCAAGGTAGTGGTAGTTTTCTCATTATCAATTATTAATTATTAACTACATTGATTATTATTATAATATTTATAAGTAAATAATGGTCAACATTTCTTGAGAGTCAAGCATTGTGCTTTAGGTTGTTACGTTTTAGCACAAGTCTATTGTTGTTAGGCGTCCGTTATTTTTTAACCCCAGTATAGAGATGAAGAAACTCAGGTGCAAAGAAGTAAAATAATTTGTCCAAGATTATACAACAATGTATGTTGACCCTTAAACAGGTTGTATTATGTATGAGAAGCACTCTTGAAAAAGTATTGCCGTGTCCTCTTATATTTATTTCCTAGATAGGAATTATTATTAACTGTGGAGTCAGAGCTGACTCATAGCTGACCCTCCAGTGGATTTTAAGAAGCTATGAATCACATGGGAGGAGAATGTCCATCATTCTCCTGTGGAGCAGCTGGTGCATTCGAACAGCAATCTTTGGATTGGTGATTCAACTCCTTACCGTTGGACCACCAGAGTTTAGAAGTTTTGTTTTTATATTTCAGTAATAATGTGGTGTCTTTTTAATATATCTTTATTAATGCTTGCTTGACTCAATATTAAACATACATTGATGCAACAAGGATTAGTTTTGTAAGCCATATTTTAAAAAATCCAATGACTGCAGAGTAATCTTTGAACTCTTGGAGCTAATTGTCACTGTCTTTCTCATTAATCCCTCTGATTTGCCAGGAACATATAATGCTAAAGCAAATGGAGTTAAAGATAGCAAGATTTGAAGAGAAAGACTCATCCAAACTCTATCTTTAGCAAAGATGAATAAAATTAATTATGAAATGGCTTCTGACAATATGGAATCTGGCTTAATGGTACTTTTAAGTTCTGGAGAAAAATCTTTGCTAAATTAAATCTTTCTGCTTCCTTATGAAGCAGCTCTTTCCACAAATTGTCTAAATGATAACCTTTTGCAAAGTAGGAATTGTTTTAGAAGCAACACATTTGATGATCATAGAGATGATAGGTGGCATGTAAAATTTCAATATGGTAGATTGGCTCTACTTAAAGAAAGAACAGATTTAAAATTTAACAATCTTTTTTCCCCCTACTCAAGTCTGGTTAAACATTTCCTACAATACTTGCTTCTGTTGTAATTATACAGACAGATGGGTGGCTATTAAGAGGGGATAAGAAAATATCCAGCAAGTAAAGTAAAAAGCTTTTCAGAAAGAGTAAGGGAGAAATTAAACTCAGTGAACATTTTGCTGAGTACCAGTTATATACAAGGACTATCCCTAGGTTTACAATTTAGGAGAGAAGAAATGGTAATTTGGGGGGCCCTCTTATGAAGCACTTCACATAGTTTAACTAATTTATTCATGCTCTGCCATTCTGAGAAATAGTTATTCATTATTCCCATTAAACGGATGAAAAAGCTAGCCGTCTGAAAGCTAAAATTACATTCCCAAGCTTTTTAGTCAAGAAATAAGCAAGATAGCAGTTCGAATCTTTCTGGCTTCAAAGCCTATATTCATTTATTTTCTTATACATTACCTCATTTTCATTCAATAATCCTACATGGTATATTTTTCCTTGATGAAAAAAACTAGAAGTTTTAGAAAATTTAGATGGCTGATAGAGATCCTATGACTTGTAAGTGGAAAAAAGTAATTTTTTTTTCTTAGTCCTGTGTACCAGGCCTATCACATACTGCCTCAAAACACTATAAAGAAATCTTACTGTCCACACAAAGCACATGAAGAAACCAAACCTTTTGTTTTCTGATGAGTACTCCATTGCAGTTTCACTCATCCCAGCAGCCGACAGGCATATTTACAGAATGACACACAGAGCTGTAAGTACTAAGAAGAGAAATTTAGTGCACTCAAAGGAGGAACCAAAAAGACATGGGCCTGGCAGTGGGTAGTTACTCTTGAACTGCCTCTTGGTACTGCCTCTTGTCCAAATGTCTTTACACAAAACCTGGTAAATCAGTTTGCGGCAGTAATTTGGACAAAGCAATTGAAAGGAGTACATCTTCATCCTGAGTGCGGAAAAGCAAGCGGGTGTGTGCGTTCAGATTCAATCTGTGAACCCTCAAGGCTTTACATGACAATTTGTGCAGAGTACAAATGACCAGATGTGTCTGCCAATCTGTGATGCCCATCAGTAAAAAGATGCAAATTCTGATCTTTTGAGTACTTGACTCTTGTTAGAAATATCCTAAAGTAATCAATAGCAAAGGCTAAATTGATGCGGAAGTCCAGGTATACTAATAGGGGAAAGGTAACCATTTCAAAATGCCTTTAGCAAACCAGTCTGCAGATTGTTATTGGTGTGACTGTTGCTGAAACAGGTGTTGGGTTCATAAATTTGCATAACAAAATGGTTTTTCTTGTGGCAGCAGCCCATACAATAATTGGTGCCATCTGTATTTATCTGTTGCAGTACGGTTTCTAATCCAAATGCGAAGAATCTTGTGCTAATTTCATAGTGCCCATTTTATTCTGAAGGGTCCTGACTTTGGAGAGAAGAGGGGCATCATTTCAAGAAAAATACTAATTGAAGGAAAATGTTAAAGTAATCGCATGCATTGCTTTTCCACCTTCATAAATCATTTTCATTGCTCCGTAAAACCTAAAGAAGGCTACCACATCCTAGAGCAAAGCTTCTTTGGAAGAGTAAGTGGGAAAGACCCAGGTGGAATGGAAAACCAACAGATCTTACTGACATTTTGAAAATACAAACTTTCTGAAAAGCAGTGCTTCCACTAAAGTATATTTTTGTTGGATGTTTTATCTTTTCCTACCTCTTGACCAATTTTTAAAAACTGGAGTCTGAGACAAACTTCTAACCTCTCTTGACTGCTTTACTCTGTGAGAAATCAGAAGCAGTTTGAGTTTGTAGTTTTATCTTGAATTATTCTAATTGGGGGAAGAAGAGAATATTGTATAGAAACTTAGTTTTTTTAAAAAAAATTTCTGAAAGACAGAATGGAACATTCCAAATAAGACAGGCACTGGAACAGTAGAAGTAGGTCCTTTGCAATACATGCCATAAAACCAACTTCACTGTCTCTAGTATTTCAGGTTTCTCAATCTTCATCATCCATCATGATACTACTAACTGGCCCAGTGGTGAGAAATCTTTGTTTTCTTTTTTTACACTGGTTTATTTACAAAATTCAAATATATTGTTTCCGAGAACAGATTCTTTGAATTTCCCTCACAGCCCCCACCCATCAAATTATACAACCCCATGATTAATTCTTCTTGCCCACTGAACATCCTCATCCCTCTCTGCTTCCACCCTCTCCCACCTCTCTTGGGTGGTTATACTCACTCTACAATAATGTTTTCTTACAATATTTATCCTTGTGGGACTGACTAGTTCACTCAGCATAATGCTCTCCAGTCCCTTCCAAGTTAGATAATAATTTACAAAATCATTGCTCCAGTGTGCTGCATAGTATTCCATTGTGTGAATGTACCATAATTTCTCAATCCATTCATTTGTGGTTGGACATTTGAGCTGTTTCCAGGTTCTTGCAATGGTGAATAATGCTGTTATGAACATTGATGTACAAATCTCCATTTGTGCCTCAGTTCTCATTTTCTCAGTGTATATTCCAAGTAGTGGAATAGCTGGGTCATATGGAATTTCTATGTTCAGCTTTTTGAGGAAGCACCAAACTGCTATCCAGAATGATTGCAACATTTTACAATCTCACCAACAATGTGTGCTTCCTTTCTCGCCACATCCTCTCCAACATTTATTACTTGTTGCCCTGTTAAACTTTGCCACTGTTACTGGAGTGAGAAGATACCTCAATTGTGATTTTGATTTGCATTTCTCTTATTGCCAGTGATTTGGAGCATTTCTTCATGTGTCTGTTTGCCATTCGAATATCTTCTGTGAAAATTCTTTCCATGTCTTTTGCCCATTTTGTAAGTGGGTTATCAGTCTTTTTCTTGTGGAGGCCCAGGAGTATTCTGTGAACTTTTGTTATAAGACTCTCGTCTGAGATGGTATTAGCAAATGTTTGTTCCCAGTCTGTAGGTTTTCTTTTCACCCTGTTGGGAAAAGTTTTTGATGCACACATGGATTTAATCTTTAGAAGGTCTCATGCATCAATTTTATCCTCTTCAGATTGTGCATCTCTGATTATATTTGGCAGTCTCTTTATACCTTGGACTAGCACTTCTAAGCTTGATCCCAATTTGTTTCTTATGAACTTTATAGTTTTGGGCTTTACTCCCAGGTGTCTGATCCACCTTGAGTTGATTTTTGTGTATGGTGTGAGGTGTGGATCCTATTTCACGTTTCTGCAGATAGAAGACCAGTTTTTCCAGCACCATTTGTTGAAGAGGTTATCATTTCCTCATTTGATAGCTTTGACTTTTTTGTCAAATATCAGTTGACCATTTTCAAATCTTTGTTTTCTTGATATTGGGCTTCAATCCATATTGAAGGCTGCAGTCCTTGACATTCTGCAGCAAGTGCAGAGGTCCTCCTCAGTTTCAGCAAGAAGGGCTTTGTCATCTGTATAACACAGATTCTTGATGAATCTTCTGCCAATCCTGATGCCACATTTCTCCTGATAGAGCTCAGATAATTTTTTCTGCATATAATTGAAAAAGTTATGGAGATAGGACACATCCCTCGCATACACTCCTCCCAAATTTGAACTATGCAGTGTTTCCTTGCTCTGTTCTGACGACTGCTTCCTGGTCCAAATATAGGTTTCACGTAAGCATGATCCTATTCTTCTCAGAGTTAGCCACAGTTGAGTTTGTTAATAGCTTTAGTTTGCTTGGTTCCACAATCAACACTCTTGGCACCAGCAGCCAGGAGATCAAAAGACATAATTTGCTGGGAAAGTCTGCTGTCAGAGGCCTCTCCAAACTACTAAAGAGCAGTGATGTCAATTTGAAGACTAAGGTGTGCCTGATACAGTCCATGGTCTTTGCAATTACTTGCTATGTGTCAGAGACCTGGACAGTGACTAGGGATGATAGAAGAAGAATTGATGCCTTTGAGCTGTGGTGTTGGAGAAAAGTAGTGAATACCATGGACTGCTAAGAGAATGAACCGGTTCATCCTGGAGAGGGTTAAACCAGGCTGCTCCTTGGAGGCAAGGATTCTGAAGCTTCGTCTGACATACTTTGGACATGTTGCAAGGAGGGAGCAGTCCCTGGAGAGAGGTGTCATGCTTGGGAAGGTGGAGGGACAGCTCAAGAGAGGAAGACACTCAATGAGACGGATTGATTAATTGACTGGGGTAATAAAGTTAGGTGTGTCAGAGACAGTAAGATTGGCACAGGGTAGAGCAGGGTTTAGGGATGTTGTACATAGGGTCTTTATGAGTCACAGGCAACTCAATGGCACATAACAACAACAACAAGCAATTCAAGTACATAGCAAACCTTTTCAATAAGTAACTATTACAGGAGGGCTATTTATCTTTTCAATATGTTATTTTTAAATACCTATAGGTCCATGAAGATCTTTATCTATTAAAGGATAAATTAACTAAATTCCAACTTGAAGAAAAAAGAAATATTCCAGACATTCGGAATCTTGAAGCAGCAATACAAAGGACTGAAATGGGGTTAAAAGTAAGTGGAACTTTAGATGTTAAATAAAATTCTGGGGAGAGAAAAAGATTCTGCCCAAAGGAAAATATGATGGTTCTTTAGGAACCACTGTTACAGTGTAATTCTGTAACAGAGGTAGACTTAGCGGTAACATTTTCATTATGTTCCTTTTTAGTGAAATAATGATGGTTAGTGATGATTATTAACACATTGATCAATTTGTACTACATTGCATTCTGTAAAGAATTTAAGCAGATAATGTATGTATTCGTATAAAATTATACAAGAACAACCCCTAATATATGGGTTTAAAAATATAAGAGGTGACTTTCTCATAATGGCCTAAATATTTTGAGATTATTAATATTTATAACACTGTAATCATGTAGGTAAAACTAAAGACACCAATTATGGAAAAGAGAAATAAAGTATAAGAGAGACATCTTTTGTACACCCCTGTTTATTGAGGCTATGTTCACAATAGCAAAGAGCTGGAAACAACCCAAGTGCACATCAACAAATGAATGGATAGAGAAACTGTGGTATATTCACACAATAGAATACTATGCTGCATTGGAAAAACAAGGAACTCATGCAATATTATTCAAAATGTATGACCCTGGAGGACATTATGTTGAGTGAAATATCTCAGTCACAAAAGGACAAATATTGCACAGGGCCACTGTTCTAAAATGGAACTGACATCATGCTTGAGGGAAGACAGAAAAGGAAGAGAGGGATGATGTATATTGCATTGAAACAGATGAGGGAGAGATCTGTTTAAAAGGGATATATAAATGGGTATTCTTGTCATTACAGAAGTCCAGAGTGAAAGCTGGATAGTGGAGTGAACTTGGGGGGAGGCATTGCATAAAAATGGAAGAGGTTTTCTTTTTCTTCTCAAGGTGAAGAATGATTTGATGGGGAAGGAGGTGGGCAGGGAGAAAAGTGCAATAATGAATGGCTGGAAATCCTAAGTCTCTGTAAACTTTCATTAAAATTAATTAAAAAAGTTCATGTACTAAAAAACCACTTAGAAGACATGTCTTACAACAGAGAGAGAGATCTTTGTGATAGATGCCTCTAAAAGTCTGGGAGAATGCAATCATAAAACCTAAGTAATAAAACAAGGATGCATTAGATAATGGACTCCATTTTCTAAATAAGGTCCATCTCTGTCTATTAGGCATGCTGGGGTTGATGTCTTCAATCTCGCTTCAGACTTGCAGACTGTCATGTTTCAACTTCATCTCCAACCTGTGAGAAATGTAGGGCATTGTGTAGCCTCTCCAGACTAACACATCATTGTCCCCTATTACCTAATGGCTGGAGGACTGGACCCAGTTGGAGTCTTTGGATCGGCCATTTTAAAGATTCTGTCACCAAAAGGCCAGCAGGTTCTTGCCTCTGATGTGGCATGAAGTCCCCTGTAAGAGAAAAAAAGACATTATCCATGCCGGCATAGCCTGGTCCATTTACCTGGCTAAGCAATTTACTGACTGTTATACACAGTTTCATTTGCAGAGAGTGCTGTAGGTCACCCAGGCTTTACATCTCAGTTGTTTATTATACTTTTTGGGATAGTTAGACTAATTTGGCCTTGAGATGCCCAATGATACCTTAGGCATATAATAGACCCATAGCATGTTGTGTCTTTTGGCTTAATTACACGATTCATAGTGTTAACCTAATGAAATGGAGTAAATTAGTTGAGCATCTTAAGTCCACTCTAATGGCCTAAACTTTGACTTTTCTGTAACAGATTCACATAGAGAAGTATTTAAATGTTGTAAACCAACATGTGTTAACGACTCCTATTACTGATGAGGGCTTATCTTCTCAGGCTTCCAAATGGTAAGTAAAATAGCCATTTTAGAGCCCCATGTAAGTACTATAAAAAATAATTCTTTAAAATTCAGGTGAAATGACTACAAAGATAAGATTTTCTTTGCTTTGTTCATATCTGGTCTACTAATTTCTGTGAAATTTTACAAAAGAAGTTAATGGCAGAATTTGAACTTAATGAAGTTTATTTTTTATTACTTTTAGCAAGTTCTTAATACTTTGTTCTGTGACGATTATATCAGGGCTTAGATTTGAGACTAGCTTTTCTTTTATGTCTCAGATTAAAAAAAAATTTAAGATATGTCAGTACCGTAGTACTGACCAGATCACATTTTAGAATGTCACATGTGCTTTATTGTAAGGCATGCAGTGTAAACAAAATAAAGCATAACTATTATTGGAAGTATTTGAATATTAAATTAATATCTTTGAAAAGTCTTTGTGCACTACAGTAAAACCTCTCAAGATGGAATTTTGTATAAGGAAGAATCTTGTCTAAGAAGAAAATATAAATATTTTCCGTTACAATGAATGATAGAAAAGCAGAAAGACTGGACCTTGTCCAAGGTGGAAAATTTGAGAGACCTGGAAAAACAAGAAGCAGTCTCGTCAAGTTCCACTTTCATAGTTTTCATCATATATCCTAGCAGATGATGTAGTAAAATGATAATTAAGTTAGAAAGAAGTGACCTTGGCTGCTTTTGTATCTTTCAACATAGCTCAACTCAACTCACTGCTCTCAGGTGAGAACTGACTCATAGCTGACCCTCCAGGGGGCGCTCAGGCAGCCATTGCTTGGGAGGAGAGAGCTTGTCTTTGACCTTGGAGTTTCTGATGGATTTGAATTCTCAGTATGGGGTTGCCCTTTAGACTAGCAGTGTAACTGCCCACTAACCATGCCACTGGAATTCTCTTTTAACTTAGAGGCCTCATGAATTTGCATAAATACTCTCTCATTTAACCTCATTAATCTCATTGATCTGTAACCACTTCATAGCTGATCCTCCAGGAGGGTTTCAGAGGCTGCAAATCACACAAGAGGAGATTGCCGCCTATCTTTCTCTTTGGAGGAGATGGTGGAATCGAACTTCCCACCTTTGGATTGACAGTGTAACTTCTTAGCCTGTAGAACTATGTTCTGTAAAGCACTGTGTGATCTGCTCTGTATTATGGTATACTGACGTATAGGAAGCAAAAAAGCTTATGATCATTACTTGGTTTTTGTTTTTGGATTTTTTTTATTTTCCTTTTGTTTTTTTTCTTCATTTTTTATTAATTTTAATAGACATTTAAAGAGGTTATGGATTACTTGTAATTAAACATCTATCCCTGCATAAGTGAACCAGCAGTGAAGTCAGGTTCCAAAAGTAGTACACAAGGAATCATAGAAAGCTACAGAAATGGCCTGGGTCCAGCACTTGTTTGTAAGAAGCAGAGTCTGAGGCACATGTCCCACCTGTCTCCCTTCCTTCTGTGTGAAGATGGTGTCACAAGCATCCATCATCCTTATATGCAGGAAATACTTCTCTGGTTCCATTTCCATCTGGGTTTCTCTATCTCTCTGGCTGCTCAATACTTACCACAATTCCATCCCTATAGCTTAAGTGGTGCTTGGATTATCTATTGCTATGTAACAAATTGCACAAAACTTAGTGACTTAGGCCAACAAAATTTTATTATCTTGCAGTTTCTATAGGAAGTTCTGGTGGCTTAATGGTGAAGAATTGCACTACCAGTACAGAGGCACATGGTTCAAATCCACCATCTACTCTATGGGAGAAAGATGGGCAGTCTCCTCTCATGTAGTTTACTGCTTCTGAAAACTCACTGGAGAGTCAGCTATGGATTGGTTCAGAATTGATAGTACACAATAATGTCAACCAATTCTTTGGGTCAAGATTCCAGATACAGTTTAGCGAGGTGCTCCTGGCGCAAGGAGGCTCACAGGTTTCAAGGCTTGGTGTTGGCTAGGGTGATCTCATCCAAAAATTCAACCAGGGTAGGAGAAGCCCATTCACATGGTCCTGGCAAGACTTAATTTATTACCACGTGGACCATAGTATTTAGGCTGCCATAGTATTTTCACAACATAGCAGCTAATGGTGCCAGAGAGACCCAGAGTATGAAAAGAGAGCACCGCACATGGAAGCTATGATACTTTTCCTTACCCTAGTCTCAGAAGTGATATTCTATTATTATCAATGTATTGGATTCATTAAAAGTAAGTCACTAGGTGCAGGCCACATTCAATGGGAAGGAGTTACACAAAGCAATGGAGATTATTACAGGGCTCACCATCTAGGAGTCTGCCCACGCTAGTGCTCTTCCACCAGTTCAGGTCTATTTTTAAGTTATCTTTAAGCCATTTCTAAATTTGCAAACCACTCAAGATATAACTTCTCTGTTATACAATCCCTACCCAAGTCATTTACTGCCTTATGTTGAAGGTTAATTTTTTACTATCCTTAAGAATAGTGACCAAGTCTCATACTGTCCAGTAGTCCTAGCTGACCATAGTACCTTATACTTGATAGGAGTGTTACATCTATTTGCACTTGATGATAATGCTTCTTTGTGTAGTACATGAAGATTTCTATCATGGATCTTTTAAAATATACACATCACAGGCTTGGTTAGTAGTACCCCTGTTTTAAAACTGTGTAAGTGAAGACTGTGAGGTTAAAAGTCTTGACCAAGATCTTAGAGCTGATAATCAGAACCAAGCTAGAACACAGATTGCCCAGGTCCCAGTATGCTGTTGTTCTGGTTTTTATGTGCCATCAAATAGCCTGTAACTCATAGTGACCCTATGTACAACAGCCCTAAACCCTGCTCTATCCTATGCCAATCTCACCATCTCCGACACACCTACCCTGACTACCCCAGTGACTGAATCAACCCACCTCATTGAGGGTCTTCCTCTCCTGTGCTGTCCCTCCACCCTCAAAAGCATGACATCCCTCTCTAAGGACTGGTCCCTCCTTGTAAGATGTCCAGAGTATGTCAGACAAAGCTTCAGAATCCTTATTTCCAAGGTGCAGCCTGGTTTAACCCTCTCTTGGATGAACCTGTTCATTTTCTTAGCTGTCCATGGCTTTTTCAATACTCTTCTCCAACACCAAAGTTCAAAGGTATCTATCAATTCCTCTTCTGTCATCCCTAGTCACTGTCCAGCTCTCTGATGCATAGCAAGTGATTGCAAAGACCATGGACTGTATCAGGTGCACCTTAGTCTCCAGAGTGACATCATTGCTCTTCAGTACTTTGAAGAGGTCTCTAACAGCAGACTTTCCCATCGCAGTATGTCTTTTAATTTCCTGGCTGCTGGTGCCAAGAGTGTTGACTGTGGAGCCAAGCAAACTAAAGCTGTTAACGGTCTCAATCTCTTCACCATCAATCATGATGCTGCCAGTTGGCCCAGTAGTGAGAATCTTTGTTTTCTTGATATTGAGCCTTAATTCATATTGAAGTCTGCTGTCTTGACCTTCTGCAGCAAGTGCTTCAGGTCCTCCTCAGTTTCAGCAAGCTGGGTTATGTCATCTGCATAACGCAGATTGTTGATGGATCTTCTTCCAATTCTGATGCCGCATTTCTCCTCATACAGCCCAGCCTCCTGGATACTCTGTTCTGCATATAGATTGGAAAAGGTATGGGGATAGAACACATGAATATCTGTATGACAGTCTGGAACAAGACATGCATTACTGAGTGAATTGAGGGAAACAGAGGGAGGAAAAATGTGTGTCAATGAATGAAAAACCCATCTTTTTTCTCTACACTTTCACTAAAATAACAATTTAAAAAACCCAAAACATAACTCCTGCGGTATTTACCCTTTGCCTTTCTCATTTGTGGAAAACAAGGCTTAAGAAAGCCGGTCTTGGTCACATAGGTCGTCAGTGGTAAAGCCCTGATTCAGGTTCAGGTAAATGTCTCCAATCTAGTAGTCTACTCCACAGCTGTGAGAAAACCAGGAAGCTTAATTTTCACAAAAGTAGGTTTTCCCTTTCAGCAAGTATTGTTCAAGGGAAAATCTGGCAGTTTTGTCTAGAAGAAGCAAAAACCTAGTAGGTACACAACAGATAATAATGGGTGCTTGCAAATGCAGACTTTTCCTTGCAGCTACTCAAAATACGATGATAATGACATTATCAAAATAGCAAATTTTCTCCAAAGAACTCACAGTGTTTTCACATTGTTTTTAAAATAGGTTTCTGAAGACAAGGAGGGTAGATACTGTTATCCCCACTGATTCTCCAATGATTTTTCTTCATTGTCAAAGTGTGGTTCTTCCTCTGTCATTGCTGGCTTTCCCAGATTTTATTGCTGGTGATATCCATTCACACTGTTTTTAACGACCGTGCTTTGTTATTGACACTAGGAGGGTGAATGCCATCTGTACCAGCACTCTCAGAACTGCACAGAAAGCTTCATTTTCATTCTCTATTGTGCTGCTGTGTGAGAGCAAAACAAATAAGAACAAAGCAAGTAAGCAAGAGTAAGAAGTGGTGGAAAGGGAAGAGGAGATGTCTGTAAATGAAGAGTGAAGATTACAAAGCACATTTTTACTCGGCCCTTGGAGCAACTTGAATCCAATATATTATGGGTTGTTAAAAAGCAGTACACAAACCCAGGTTGTATAGAATGGGACAGATCCTAATCACACAGAAGGAGCTCATTTGAGGGGAGCAATGAGTAGTTTTCTCCTGTTAAGATTCATAACCTTGGAAACCCAGTGGAGGGTTGCAGTGAATCAAAATTGATGAGATGTCAGTGAGGAATAAGGGAGGAAAAGAAAAACAAAACAAAACAAAACATACAGATACCATAGAAGTTAGCATTTGACAATCAAGTGAGAAATATTTGGAGACTCTCTGGTCTTTCCGTTTTTCTGTAGGTTTGAATTTTTTCAAACAAAAAATAACTTAACACACAACCATTTTAAGATACAATTGTTGGTCTCTGTTTGGAGAAGATAAGAGAAAGAGGGAAAGCAAAGACTTAAAGAA